TACTTATATCATAGACCTCTACATAAATATCTTCATAATTACAGTACAAAATATTTCAAAAAGTTACGTACACAACAAACCTTACAACCATATTTCCTTTAATATCACTGTACACGACATCACACCTTTCCTAACTGTTAAGTGAACATAATAAAAAAGGTCTATAATGATGCATACAACTCTAACTTTAAATGTTTTTCTTTATGCTCAATACACATAACAACACTCCACACAACCTCCACCCACCGACAGCACTTAAACTTTGCCAGCTATTGTCAAGTGGGCTATTGCATCATTGATGCTCTCGTTATAGTTTTAAATTTATCGATTTTTTCTCCAGAGCCTGACATTAAATATTGAAGGAAAGTGTGTGTGTAAAGTGACGTAAAGTTGTAATATTGTAACACGAATGACATAAGCAGTTAAAAGAAATCCTTTAGATTTATTACTATAGGTTTAGCCTACTGGCTTACCATAATGTTTTTATGTATATATTTTTATTCCTACAGGGTTATCAAATGTGGACCTCCACTCTCTGTCTTTAAAAATCGATAATGACGGGTATGATCTTGGTTTGGAACTTGGCATCGATGAGGAAATATTAAAGGATATTTCTGTGGGAACTACAATTCCATGTGAGCAATGTTATCGTATTCTTGAGTACTGGAGGAATTTTTGCCAGAGAGAAGTTACCCAGCAAGAAGTAGGCGTACTTCTGAAGGCATTAGAAAGAACGGATTGCAAAACAGAAGCAACTGAATTTCTAAGTAAGACACCATTTTATTTTTAAATATCATGTAAAACATAGCTGAAAAAGTGGCTCAGGCAATGTTTCAAGCTTTAGGTGCAATGATTGGTCTAAATATATTGCTGCAAACCACGAATTGGTCCATACGGAGATATAATGCTCTGTTGCTGGTACTGGTACTTGTAGCCGTCTGATTTCAGACATTTGGCAGCCATTGACATTATGTTGATGTTAAAAGACTGCATACTGTGATAAAGGACCTGTGTACAAACAATTACCAAACACAAAAAAATATGGAACACTGAATGCTATTTACAAAACATTCTATTTAATGCTTATGGGTGAAACTTTCTTTGATAAATTGGCTTCTGTCAAGTTGATTTTCATCTATGACGCGTTGAAGAATAGATTTGGTTTTCTTTCCTCTTGTTCCGCTGGTTATATAGTGAAATGTGAGGATTTTACATGGATCATCATTTGGTCTTCTTATTAAATGACTGATCCATTTGGATTGTTGGTCTTGATAGGAGGTCCTAAGTGGCATGATGTTGGTTATTTGATATAAATTTTCGTTTGAAATCCTATACCTCCAGTCATATTCATCTGTTGTTGATTGTTGGTCAATGTCTTCACTGTCTGTTTCAATGTTTATGTGCTAGTACTTGTACATAACTAATAATGTCATACCTAATGTGGATATTGTTCGCCATTGTATATTTAACAAAAGATGTACAGGAATTGTCCAGATTCAGATTCTTTTATAGCGGAATAGTTCAATGCACGATTTAAAAACATGACTGTAACTCCTGTACAATTGAATGTCTTCATTCATGTGAGATGGAGCAGTCAGCAGAAGCATTTTGTGATTGGCCAGACAGGATAGGTGTTACCGATATAGTTTTATGGTTGGAACTGAGGTTGGAATTTAAAAATGGCACTTCTAAATGTTCGGAGATGCTTTTTAGCGTGTGTTAGTGAAATATGAGTGACTTATACTGTGCAAACTTTGGTGAAACATTATTAACAAAGTAGAAACAATTTTAGAAATTTATTATTGATAAAAGAATTGATATGTTAAGATAACAGATTTTTGAATATTAAAAAGCTGAGGGGAAAAGGGTGGCTACGTCACTCAGACAGCTTTTATACATGTTATTTATACAAATTTATAATATACTAGATTGTTAAAAAATATGTAACATATTTCCTATACAATAAATGAGAAAAAAATGTTAAATGCATTTATCGTATGTAATTCTGAAATATTAATCATCTTTAAACACTTCAAAGTCAAGTAGGTACAATTCTTCTTTATGCTGGTATGTACACCCCTATTACAAAATTCAGAGTGAGCAGCTAGCTCAGTTGGATAAACTGGTAGTAGCCACTGTGTGCGCTGAACAGTAGAGATCTCTTGGTCCCCGGTTCAAGTACCGTCGCAGCTCTACTTGTGTTTCAGCTAGAGGGCTAAAATGCAATATTTTAAAAGCGCATGTTTAAGCCGTTGGTCCCGTGTGAAAAATGGCCCATCTGCACGTTAGAAGGCAGCAAACTCTTCCAGAAGAGTAGGGATTGTCTCCTGCTGTACTGCCAAATTCACCACCAAAATTTCCACACTGAAAATAGTCTCAGGACTTACGTGGGTTATCATTTGTGTGTATCACACCGACGAAATCTAATCCAATCCAATCCAAGTCGTTAAAGTGGAAGTGTCCATGATAGATGGAAAAATAATTGTTATATTTGTTTAGCTTCTTTAATTAAATTTGAAATATATTTAATGAGGGTGACCCATCCAGTTGAAGGTGATCATTCTTTATTCCAAACTGCAACAATACTTTTGCCATACTGTCACCTTCTTTCAAAATGGTTAAGTTTGCCTCTGATTCAACAGATTCTTCTCAGATAAAATTAGGCACCTACATCAGAATATTTCACTTAATCAAGATTTTAATCAAGGCAACCGCCATATTGCTGCATCCCCAACTCAATAGCTTTGAGGTTGTCACAGACATCCTCTTTTTTTATTCTTTTCTTTTCTTTTAATTGATTTAGCCGAAAAGCCAAGGGTATGTGAAGCAACGAAGTTAATTCCTATTCAAAGTGTCATATCTCTTCACAAGACAAACATGAACACAAGATGCTCTTCATAAACTAAGTCTTATTATAAGGCTTAGGGAATGGAGCTTGATTGGTCGTAAGAAAAAATCCTGTTGGAGTGACAGCAATTGAACCCAGGACCCTGGGATTAGAAGGCAATCATCTTAACCATCAAGTTATTTAACTCCCTACCAAGATTTTTTGCAATCTCAACTGCAGTCTTGATACTTTGTATCCTAGTCAAATCCTCTGTTTCAACTGGCATTTTTCCTGAAGTATTAGTGACCGGAATTATAACATACTTTGGGAAAAAACGAAATTCATTGGTGTTTATTTGGCAATTATCGGCTGTAACTAACATCGCTTTTGTTTTTAAGGTCATTGAGAAAGTTGTCTTCGCAACTTGTTACGTTTTGAAATAACAACAATCTTTTTGATCCTTATCAATCTGCTTACAGGAAAACATATAGTACAGAATCCGCTTTACTGAAAAGTCAATAATGGTGTTTTCCAGGCAGTCGATAATGCTTCGTGTAACATTATTAGTGTACCTAGATGTTTCTGCCGCTTTTTACACTATAGATCACAGTATCTTCATCAATCCTTGTTACGTTTTGAAATAACAATAATCTTTTTGATCCTTATCAATCTGCTTACAGGAAAACATATAGTACAGAATCCGCTTTACTGAAAAGTCAATAATGGTGTTTTCCAGGCAGTCGATAATGCTTCGTGTAACATTGTTAGTGTACCTAGATGTTTCTGCCGCTTTTGACACTATAGATCACAGTATCTTCATCAATCCACTTTCTGACTTAGGTATTACTTTCCTTCTAAATAACATCTAGACAACAGACAGTTAAAGGTAGATCTGCTATTTCTGATCCTGTAGTACACAAGGCTCTGTTGGACCTATATTGTTCCTTGTATACTTGTGTCTTCTTTTATCATTCCGTCTATAAAGAGTGAGGAATATTGGCCTTACTTTCGACTCCATAATGTCCATGAAGTGGCACGCTAACAACATCTGCAGAACAATGTCCTTTAAAACATAAAACAGTTTAGACGTTTTCTAAACGAATATGCTGCTTGTGCACGCCTTTGTAACATTCACATTGAATACTTGTAATGGAGTTCTCTAAAGTCTCTCTTTTACATCAATTAATGAACTTCAGCTGCAACTCACCATCGCTGCTTTGCTGGTTACTTGAACACCCAAATTTCATCATATTACCCCAGTATTTCGTCTTATTCATTGGTTCCCTGTATAGTAAGGTATTTATTTTAAAATGTTATTGCTTGTATACAAATACGAACAGTCGAACAGTTAAAAACAGCGGCTTTTGATCGGGAGAGATGGCGGAAGTGTTTGCAATGATCCTGCTACTTGGCAGACCACTTGTTGTTGTTGTTGATGATGATAATGATGTATACAAATCAATTCATCACTCACCTACTAAACACATTTCCTAAATTACTAAGTCTCGCTCCTCAGCATGTAGTACGGCAGCTTAGGGCCATATTTGGACTTAATGTGGACGTTCCGGACAAAAGCACCAATTT